AAACTAAATTTGATTCAAATTGATAGTTTTCTACGAATTAATGCTGCAAAAATTTCTAGAGATTTATTATGTTTGATATAAACAGTTTTGTAGAATCCTTACCATTTAATACTAGTAAATCCCATTTTTTGACGCGCTTTCATTTGGTATAAAATTTCTTATTGACTCTATTTAAAATCACAGCGTTACTTCCATGGAAAAATATTTTTACTCACCCTGTATGTAACTTTCTGCCTAAGAAAAGGAAAAGAAAGTGTTTTTCTACTAAGTTCTTTGTTAAAATATAGTGGGACTCACCAGTGGGTTGCATTGGATCGAATGTGTTAAAGATCATTATTTGTCGTGTATATTATACTTAGCAAGGAAGCACTCGATGATGCTCTGATCTATATGAATCATTGTAACCAGTGTAAAATGTTTTACAACACTTTTTCAGAACTATCGGGAGTGCTTTAAAATTGGCGAGCGAATTGAGAAATTCACTGCAGAGAGAACAAATTTTGGGAGGTCGAGCAAAATAATCGTCAATTTCTTTTGATGAAAAACGAAAATTTACGATTATATGGGGAGGTCACACCCTACTCTTACTCTGACGATAGAACTGCATTTGATTGCATCTTTCTTTTAAAGTTTGATATAGTTATGCAAATTATTCGAAATTTTTGTACAATGGCAAAACATGCCTGATATATTGCTTTATATCAATAATTAAAGTAATATAATCAAGATGATATCATTCACTACAAATGTTGAATTTGTATAGTTGTTGGATTTTTTTAAATGTTCTTTTATGGATTCTTGGATGCAGTTTTTCCGTCATGATTCGATGTGAATTGTTTAAGTTTTCTGCATCTCAACGAATGATACTCAACTTTAAGATAATTTTTGTTGCTGATAACTGATTTCAGTTATTTTCAATAATTGACGATGGAAATTCACATTTATTCATTTGTAGTAAAAGAATAAATGAATTACAATAAAACATTAGATCTATATCTTTCGATCTAATATTTTGAGATTACCAAAAGAAAACATTGCAGAGAAATGATATGTTGTCAGAATGAATAATATTTTGAGGATGATAAAAATTAGAGATTAAGATAAACGAGAAGTTTATCTGATATCGATGGTAGGTGTCAATGATTCTATTGATACGTGTACATACATTTTGTATTGAGCATAGAATAGTTACATCTTGAAGATTGTCGAGAATCCGGTAGACAAGTTCTACTGGTAATGTCAGAAGTGATAGAATAGTATTGTCAGACATCGAGGAAAGTTGTTGAGATGTGTGTTGTGTTGAAATATACGTTCCTTGTATAGTATATATAATTGGATTTAGTTTTTGTTTAAATGAGTTTATATTTGTCTTATGCCATAAATTTCTCATGAATGTACAATTGTTGGTTTCGAGAAAGAAATGCAAATAAATGATATCAATGATAAAAAGTGAAAGCGTCCTGATAACAACCACGTTTAGTCTTTATTTCGTTGATTTTATTTGCCACATCATAAAATGTGAATGTGAATAAGAAAAGAAGGGTGTGGATGTATGTACGATTAGAAATAAGATTAACACCCACAAATATGAGTTATTTCGAACTGTTGAAAGTGTCATCTCCATCAAAATTAAACATTTTCATCTCATAAGATTTCATCTATATTCTTACTACATTTACAAACCAAAGAATTTATTTAAGAGTTAATAAGTGAACGGTATAACGTTAACAGTTCTGTCTTGGAAACACATTATTTTGCTTAGTTCACTAAATAGAAGCAAATGTCCTCTGATCATTCCATTTCACTAGAAGGCATATGAACAATAGCAACAGCAAACGGACTCAATGTTATTCTACTTAATGTCAATATTATTTCAGTTGGAGGTCCAAAACCAGATGCTTCATTTACAATCTGCATTCGACCACCAGTACATCCAGGTAAAAATACATCAACATTAGCATATCGTTTATTAATAATTAGCACCCATCGATGACCATTTTTACTAATAAATCCTTGACTAAAGATATTTTTTCCACTAGTATCAGTTGTTTGTGTTACAACTGCTTCATCATTATCAATATCAACTGTGTCAATAAGAAGTTTTGTTATCCAATATTTTGCTGTTCCTTCTCCAGTTGTCCAATTGAGTAAAGCAACACTTGGAAATTGAGGTTGAAGTTGAAGATCAGGTAATTCTGGAAAACCTATCAATAAGAATAAAACAAGAGTTGTTTCAAAGAACTTATAGTGTTTAGTACTGACCAACAAGTTGACTGTGTGTAGCAACATCAATACCTTGTCTAGATATTCTTGCCCATGCATAAGCATAAAGTGCAGCAGCAGCATTCCAGTAAATCATTGGAAATTGTGGTGCTTCTGGAATGTTATCATCAGGAAGAATGACACCGACTTCATCGATCGTAGTTCGAGTTTGTGGTGAAAGATTTTTACGAATTTCTTCAATCTGTTCAACTTCGAATATAAATATATCAAGTTGACCAAAGAATGATTCCCAATCTTTTGGATCAGTTCGAGAATTACCGAATGCATAGAAATGATATGAGATCATATCAAGTGGAATATTAGGTGCATGATTTGAATGATTAAGAAAATATCGATACCAACTAAATTCATTATGTCCTACAACAAATAACAGATGTGTCAGATTAAATGGTTGCACTTTGCATTTCATATTTTAATCTCTAAATACGTTTGATTAAAAATCAAAATATATCACAAGATGTATCGTGAGAAGTTCTACAATTTATAAAAAGAACTGATCGCACTAAATTTTGATTTTTGTTGAAAATAAAATGTGTACAAGTAAACTAAGCTGTTGTTTATAAATTGTAGACCTGTTCGCGCTGCATCTTGTGATATATTTTGTGTTTTTTTTTAATCAAATGTATTTAGAGATTAAAATAGGAAATAGAAAGTGCAGCCATTTTAATCTGGTGCATCCGTTATATTTGATTATAGTATACTTCGAATATGAAAAGACTGACCTCCTAATGACATTCCAACATATTTCATATCATAATTATTTGTATGTCTTCGAATACCTTGAATAACTGCATCATATGCTCGAGTATAATATTCAATAGTCATGCTATGTTCACCCTCAATTTCATTAAATATCTCTGTATAGTCCCAGTTATATTGATAATTTGATATATGTTTTCTACCATATTCATCAATGAAACCACCTCGAGTATACCAAGCAAAGAGACGTCCATAATAATCACCTAATTCTTGCATAGTTTCATCAACTAATTGAGTACCTACTGGATATCCCCAGTCTGTAAATGTAGCATTATCAGGATAGATATGAGGTGTTGCCTGTTTAAAGAGCCAGTTTGGTTGAGTGGAAAAAGATATGATACGTGAATGGCCATCAGTAGCATCTAGAAAATCTTCTAACATTGTATCAAGATAAGTAAAATTATAATAGGTATTATTTTGTGGTGGATCACATTGAATTTGAATCAATAATCGTTTTACTGTTCCTTTACCTAAAGAAGATCAAGTATTTTTTAAAATCAAAATCATAATAGATTAATAATATTTTTGATCCGCTTAGACATGTTTTTTTGACGAGTCAAAATCTGTAGGTTATGATTAGAATTTTGTGTTCTTTCCAAATATGGGTCTAGAAATTTTGTTTGAGTCTTTGTACGAGAGTAGTGAGACAATGTTTGAAAAGTCGAAAAAATTAGTTTCAAACATCCTAAATAAATAAGCATTTTCACAACAAACTTTGGTCCACATGTTCCGTCCAAAATAAATTGACATCTGCCTTAGAAAACGAATATTTTTCTGATCTTTCTTCAATAGTATTTTACCGAGAAACTAATTTCTTTGCATGCAATTATAACTCACTACATAATCTACCATGTCTGAATTCTTCGCTAGAGATGACCTATGAATCCCGAGTGGAACTGAAAATGTAAGAAAATTATATTTCCTTATTCCATACCCTATAACTTTTTAAACAAACTATATAAAATCATTTGCACCATAGAGTAAATCATTATTTGTTTGATGAAAAAAAAAAAAAGCTTACATGGATCACCAAAAAGATCAGATATGGCTGGAATACTACATTGTTGTTGTCCAATACAAACTCGTTGAACAATTTCTGAACTATTTGCTGCATGACATACTCCTTGTTGCATTTGACCACATGTACCACTTGATGTTCCATAAGATGCAAAATCAACTTTACTTATTACACCACTACTTTGTTTACATGAAAGATTTATTGAAAAATTTTCACCTACATTACCACATTGAAATAAATCTGATGGAGGATCCAGTTCAGCAACAGCTAATTTTGGATAAGGATACCAAACAGCATAACGAATATATTCAGCATTGAGTTTTTTTAAATTTGCAAATATTTCTTTGTAGATAGGAGAAAATTGTCGAGATAAAAGAGGATTAGTAACGACTTGTAAAGTTGGAATAGTATGAAGAACATAATCATGTATGGTCCAAGATATTTCGATGAGTATAGGATCTTCATCAACTTGATCAGGATGTTTTTTGTCAGTTTCAGATATTGATGAAAGATGAGCAATATTGCAAGCAAGATGGCATAGTATAATAATCAACACACATTGAACGATCTTCATCCTTACAGTTGTCTTAAATCAACTGATTCGACTTTTTTTTGTTGGAATCTGAAATAAACAGAAAAAATGTTGTAAGGTTTGCTTTTTCTTTAGAAACATCTACACTGAATCATAAAAAGCAAAGGATGACGTACTAAAAAAAGTAGTTGCTTCATAAAATAATAATCAATCATTCTTTTTTTCGTCTTTTCTCATTTAAAATCTTGAATTATTTAACGCATACCACCATCTTGTTTTCTTCTATTTTACTCTCCATAGATTTATTTGTTTTTGTCTTATGACCATGTTTCACAACCATAGGAAGACTGAAAAGGAAAAAAAAGCATGTGAAGGCTGAGCTGTTCGGTTACTGGTAGTGAAGAGAAGAAAAGAAATTATATCAACAAAAAAACCATAATGTTAATATACATTGTTGAGTCAACAAAATGTATTTATATGTATATGTTGTGATCAAAATTAAAATTTAGTCAAACTTAAACTTTGTCTAGTCAAAATTGAAATTTTAATTTTAATCTAAACAAAATTGACATTTTATTTTTGTCGAATATAATCTCAGTCAACATTAAAATTTCAATTTTGGCTACACAAATTGAAATTTTTTGTTTTTGATGAACTGAAGCAAGTAAACAAAAGGCTGTAGGTTCTGTTGAAGAGAACATCCATACCCATACTCACATCCTTTTCAGATGCCATTGACAAGTAAAAAACGATGAAAATGTTTCAAAGTTCATATGACTTCAATAGCTGCTTGTGACAAAAGTAGATGTTTTTTTTCTCAATACAAAGTTATATTACTATGAAAGACGAGACTAAACAAGCATTTTTATAGCTCGGCAGTAAATTCTGTCTTGTGCTCTATACGAACCGTAGTCGAATCTCATCTAATGCACCTTATCCCCTGATATAAATTTGTGTTAGACTGAAGTAAATAGGTCATATAATGGCAACAGTGGATCGTTACCGTACCAGAGGGCATGGGTGTGGATGTGGGTACTAATATTTCCTGTATTCACCCACATCCTTCTGCCAAAATTTTTAATAATACTTTCTGCCTAATTTCTCACAGAAACTCGACTCTATTTCTGCTAAACTTCTCGCAGAAAGTCGATGTTATTTCTGTGAAAATTTTCGCAGAAAGTCGATGCCATTTTTGGCAAATTTCTTGCAGAAAGAGGACTTTTTTTTGCAGAAATATCGGCTTTCTGCGAAAAAATTACAGACTTTCTGTCAAATTTTTAGCCCTACCCTCCCCCTACTCCCGAAAACAATCGGGAACTATGTTCTCTCCTACTATATAACGTCACTTTACTTCGTTTCAACTTGTTAACATGAGATTATATTATAAATCAAGACTTTTTTAATGTGTTGCTTTTTTTTGTGATATCATTCAAATTAAATTGTACTTGATAAACTCTCATATATTTAAATATAAGTTGGTCAAATATATTCAATGATTGATCGAAATAAAATAATTATTCGAGAAATATTAACTGGATTATGTTTAGCTGTTGAACTAGTTACTCTTTTTTTACACATAGCTTTTATTCATCGTAAAGCTGCTGAATATATGATTCGTGATGATGAAGATGATCCGTTTCTTATATTGAATATGATAAAGATAAATATATTTGTTAAAGAGTGTCATATTGGTCAACCAGTTTCTTCTTATTGACCTTATTGGTGGACACAATACTAATATCCATTTAACAACTTATTTTGTTTAACTAGAACGATACCATTTAACAGTTAGCATTTGATAATGTGCTCTTTCAACAAGGGATTAATCTAATCAATACAATCGAATTTATTTTTAATTTATATTGATCAAATAGGATACGGAGATCGTTAACAAAATCATCCTAATCTTTATCTAAATCTTCTCAAAAGTCTTTATCTTTATGTTCGAATAATTTATTCGAGAGAATTTTTTGATCAACAATCAAAAGTTCTCTTTTAACATAAACAAGATCATTTTTTCCAAAAAGATTTCAATCAGAAACTCTCAGTTACACATTTCGAACTTTTCTATAAGAACAACGAGAGAGACAAGATTTTGTTTTCTAACGAAAGAATCATTCGAACTGGAAGTCACACTTTCAATTCATCTTTTGACGACAATTATCTATTGATAAGACTAGAATATCTATTCAATAATTCCTTTCAATTAACCCTTTCGAGACGAGTTACGATCATTCTAGGGAATTTTCAATTCAGATTTGTTTATATAGAGTTTAATCAAAAACAACAAAAAAAAAATTCCGATATGAAAAGCTTACTTATAGATAGATTGAATAACCGCGATTGCGTATCCAGAATATTTTATCTGAAAAGAATTGTGTTATTTTTTGTTGAGATGAAAATATTTGAAAATAATCATTTGTAAAAAAGAACAACGACTTTATTCAATAATAGAGTATATTCAGACAAAATAAAATTATTTTCAAATCAAACTTTAACTATATTCTATCAATCATTCGATTTATCTTCGTTATTCATCGGTATATTGACAAATCCTTAATCAAATATTCACTAAAATGATCTTAACTATAATTAATAGGTTATCAATATTTTTACAAATCTATATTATCAGTAGATTTACTATATACGAATTCAAATAAAACAATTTTCAGAGAAATTAGTTTAAAATTCATTTTATTTTCAATGATTCAGTTTTAAAATGATTTATTTCTAGAAACTCTTCAATAATATATTTATCACATTTACAACACACAACGGTCAAACAGCTGTTTAACAACATTCGAAACAAATTTCGACTCGATTCTTCTTTTTATTTATTTCACTTTTTTAAAGATAGGTTCTTTAATAGAGTGAATGCATCAATTACGATCTATTCATCCTCATACTTATTTATTCAATGATATGTTTTCATCGGATCATCCTCAAACATTTTATCATCAACTTCACAATTCAGATATGACTCTCAAAGGACATACACAGATAAAAGTTAACTTATCAATCATGCTCTTTCATTTCAAGGACCTATCTATCAAATATACAACTTTTTTATATTTTATTTTATTCTTTATTATCAATTGATCACCATCTAGAACACCAATTGATAGCTTCTTTTTTTCTCATACTATTACTCAACTAACTACAACTTTTTCTTACTACCTCTCAGACAATCAAATATCTCCATACCGAATATATCAAATAATCAAGATTTTTACATCATACGAGACAATATTAGGAAAGAAAGAATAGATTCAAACCAACGATAATGATACTTACACGAGAATATTCAAATGATCAGTCTATCACTAAACAATGTCTCTTATATGGAATGTCAATGTCACTGTACGTCACCGTCTCACTTTTCATCTAGATAACCAAATCGGTGCGCGTCTCATCTCCTATTTCTCTTTATTGATTCACCAAATAAAGCTCATAACCGCTCACTTAACTCACACTCAAACTCCACACCACACAACCATACCCTAACAACACTTATATAAATAAATAATTCGAAAATAGTTACTTGATCATTCATTTATTATTAATCAAACATTTCAACAATAAATTTATGAGAAAAATCATATTAAAATCTAATTAGATAATATTTTGTTGTATATCAATATTAATAAATATATTTATTTGATTTTAAAATAATTATTTA